CTTACTTAGGCAAACTTTAGGGTTGCTGATTGCTTTTTTTCTTCCCCCCCCCCCCCCCCCCCCCCCCCATTCCAGCAAAAGTCTTAGCTGAAAGAAAACAAGTTAACACTCCACTTCCTAAAAAAGCAATCAGTACTTCTCCAGTCACAACTTGCTCTGTCAGAAAGGCTCTTGGAAATGTGAATAAAACTGAAGGAGTCATGAGCAAGATGGATAAGCTAAAACAGAAAAATCAGCCTTGCACTGTGAACAAAGTGAGTACAACCACACTTATGCTGGGGAGGAGGAGAAATCCATAATTTACCTGCTGTGATTTGCTGATAATGAAAAATCTAAAAGAAAAACAAAACCAATTCCTTGCCAGCAGTTGACTAATGCCTTGCCAGTCCCAGAGCAGTGGTAGCCCTGCTTTCCCACCAGTTTTCCTTGCTGAGATGCCATGGATGCTCAATATGGGCTATCCCAGCTGGGTCAGCTGTTCTGGCTGTGCCCCCCCAGCCTCCTCACTGCTGGGGTTGTGAGGAGCAGAGAAGGCCTGGACTGTGCAAACACTGCTTGGCAATAGCTGAAAGAGCTATTATATACATTTCATCATGAATCCAAAACATGGGCTCATAAGAATTGCTAGGAAGAAAAAGAACTCTATCCTGCCTAAAAGCAGGACACCTATGTAGATGGTTCTAGAGAAAATAGTCTGAGTTTGTCTTAATTACATCTTAAGAGTTACCTGTTCTAGTGCAGTCACATAGAGTACTGCACTGCATAAACTCAGCTGAAACATTTGCCCATCTTCATCTTATTTGTGTGGAAGGCATCAGAATTTAGGCCTGAGTGAGAAAAGTATGACAGGTATGCTTGTCTGTAGACCTGAACAGCACAAGAAAGCCACTACAGATATTCTACAGCAGCTCAAATAATGTTACTTCCTCTTTTTATGCCTAACAACAAGACTGGATTAGAAAGCTGCCATACAGTGGCTGAAGAAGATTGGCCAGAAATAGAAAATATGTTTCCTTTGGATCCTCAAGGTAAGAACTATTGATATAATCATTAAAATTAGCAATAAGGCTTTAATGATTCCTACTGCTCTAGGATATAAGAGTTGAAGATGAAACTTCTAAAGTTGTTCTTAGGCCAGCCCATTTCATTTTCAGTCCTTCAAAGTGTGTCCTTAACTTTCCTCTTCATGTGTGCAAACTGCTGTGCCAAAGACTGCTGTGTTGATGAGCTGTACATGCTTTGCTTGCTGAAGTTACTAACTGCTGTACATTAGCAGTTCCATTAGGCAGCCTAGTGTTTCCATCAGGGTTGGTGTATGGGATTTCATGCACAACTGAAAGGTGTAACTGCAAGTAAATACCCCATAAGAGGAGACTGTTGTGGTGTTTTAGATTGGCTCCTATTTAATGTAGTCTAGAAGAGTTTGCAGCTTCCCAGGCTACTGCACACTTAACAGTCTTTCTTAAACAGACTTTGAGAGTTTTGATCTTCCTGAAGAATACAAACTCAGCAATATCAACCTGTGTGGTGTTCCCCTCATGGTATTTGAGAGGACATATGACAGATGTGTGAACATGGCTTCTTCCCCAGTGAAGACTGAAGAGATTTCATGGGAATCCAGTAAGTGGAAACTTTACAGACTTCCAGTACACACAATGCTCATCAGTGGTTAGAGCAAAAAGCCAGCTGGCTGCAGCAGTGAATTGCTGCTGCTGGCTGAGCCACCAGAGCAGTGCACCAGTGTCAAACAGCTTCTGCTGTGTAGCCAAGCTCAGTGTACCTGGCCAAGGCTGCCAGGCAGTTGTCTCAGAGTGGTGTCACTGACCACCCAGCTGCAGCCAAGCACCACACAACTTGCTCCCCTGCTGTAGGATGGGGAAGAAATCAGAAGAGAGAATGTGAAAAAACCTCATGCTTTGAGGTAAAAGTAGTTTTGATAACTAAAGCAAAAGCCATGCATTTAAGAAAAGCAAGACAAGGAATTCATTCAGTTCCCTTCAACATCCTCACAACAGCAAGGCTTCATCTCATGCAATGGTGGCTTGGGAAGACAAGTGCCCTAACTCCAGATGTCTCTCCTTTCTTCTCCCCCCAGCTTTGTCTGCTGAGCATGGCACCATATGGTCTGGGATATCCCCTGGGCCCCTTGGGATCAGCTGTTCTGGCTGTGCTCCCTTCCAGATGCTTGAGCACTCCCAGCCTCCTCCTCACTGGTGGGGTGGGGAGCAGAAAATGTCTTGACTGTTGCTGAGCAGTGCTCACACAACTAAACCATCCCTGAGTTATCAACACTGCTTCCAGCACAAATGCAAAACACAGCTCATACCAGTGGCTGTGAGGAAAATTAACTCTACCCAGTGAAAAGCACTGAGCAATCTTTTGTGGTGCATTGCAAACTGATCAGTTAGGTGGCACTGACTTATACAATGAAGCAATATTTCCCTTGCTTATTCAACAGGTTTATGCAGAGCTGATGGGAGCTAGCTTATGTTTGTGTGCATTCTGAGTTTGAGAAACTGATTTGATTTATTTCTAAATTTCAGACTTGCTACAATCAACTGCTGACTTCCTTGCTACCCTGGATGAGATCATTGACATGCCACCTCCACTGTATGATGATTAATGTGTGCTCTGAAATTTCTTTTGAGGTCCAATTTCATATAGTTCTGTATTTAAATAAAGTCTAGTTTAACCTATATACTATTGTACTTTTCCTACAGTGAGCCCAACATGTAGGTAGCAAAATAGAGCTTTGAGGAGGAGATTCTGACAAGCAGGTAAAGCAGAGCCTGGATAACTCCTAAGCAAGGCTCTGAAGCACTGTTGTCACCTCATCTAGGAGCTGGTACCTGCAGGTTGGAGTGTGTGTGACAGGTTGAAGTCCTTCTTGATCCATCAAACATGCAAGGGTTTGAACCAATTTGTGTATCTAGTGTAAAGCAAGCACTAGAGCTGTTATTCTTCTGATGTTTTCACTTTGAACCTGTTTGCCCTTCACAGCAGCTGAGGTGGTGTGTGTTGGGTTCTTATGCAGCTGTAGATACTTATTGCAGAAAAGTGCCTGTAACTGAGGCACTGAATGTGGTTACACAGTGCCATCACATGGCCTGTTGGTAGGCAGCACACAGGTAAAAACATTGGTGTGTGAGGCCCCAGGGAGCAGAGGTATGAGTCACAGTATGGCTATGACTTTAGGTATTATTATATGAATTTAGGTAGTAACTGTTTGTATGTATAGACACCACACTGGGAGAGTGACACTAGTACTTCGTTTGTGTTATGGAAGTTTATCAGGGTGAAATGAGATTTTTTTTTTACTTTGAAATACTCACTATGATCAAGAACCTAGATCTTTTTGTACAATCAAATAAATAAGCCTTTTGTACCATGTCCACATGTGTGTATACACATGCACATTAAAAAATTTAAAACATGCTTGCAGAATTTCATAGTGAACTGAACAAGTATTTGCATAGTGTTTGCAAAGGTAATGATTAAATCATTTCAGATTCACAGGCCTCTTGGTACTGATAGACTTTAATCTTGGAGCTAAAATACTTGTTATTTGTGGGGCTGGTGGAATGGGTTTGCAGGAAGATGGGGTGAATCAGGCTTGGGAATATTGGTGGTCTGTCTGCATAGGGATGTGGTGTAGAAAAGAAGATGGTAGTGGTAGGATTAAGTAAATTGTTTGCTACAGTGAAACTCATCTCGGGCTTTTTGCTCTCATTAGGATTTCTGACTAATGCAGGTTGAAGCTTTTGCTTTTACAAAGCTTAATTTTATGAACGTTCATTGGAAAGTTCCACTTGTTTCAGCTGGCTTTTATTTTCCTCATTTACTTTTCAACTCTGACTGAGATTAAAGGGAAATGCACATTCCTGGGACAAAGCTGTGGTGAGACTCCATCTGTGGGTGGAGTTTCCTGCTCTTGGTGACTCCAAGGTTCCCATCAGTCACAAGGTACTCTCTTCTCTTTGGAAAATGTAAGCTCATGGCCTCAGAGCTGCAAGCCTGCTGGGTGTCAGCCCATGAAGTGCTGGCACAGGAGCACTGGGAATTTTGTGTTGCTTCAGGTAGGTGTTAACACTGACTTCTACTGGTGGCTAAAAACAATCAACTTCTTTAACTGCTTTAATGTTGCTATGACCCACATAGCTCTTCATACTTACTAAGTTATATTTTCTCTTGGGATTTTATCAGGAGTACTGACTTGAGCAACTTGAGCTCAAAATGTTGTTTGAGTACTTAGTTCCACAGCAGTGATCTTACTAAAAACTGCTGCTAATGTTTGGGTTTACTTGCTTGATCAGTTTATGCTTCCTGCAAAGATCTGAGATATTGGGGATTGTAAATGCATGGCTGTAATGAAAATGAATGCTTGTGTGGTGGCAGCCTTTAATAGACCTCATGGGTACATAATTGGCAGCCCAGGATTGTAACGAAATGCACAGAGTAGGGACTTTTTCAGTGGGTTATCACTCTGCAAAAGAACTGTGCTCTTCCTGTGAGATTCTCTTGAAGCCCTTACCTGAACTTCTGTAAGGAGAGTTTGGAGATGATGCACATGAAAAGAGTCTCAGCAGGCTCAGTAACTTCAGTGCACATCAGACCATCCATCCTGTGTGCAGAGTTCTGGCAGTGGGTGGCACCATGGTAACAGCCTTGTTAGAGCTGCTGCTCCTGCAGCCTGAAATCGCTGCCGTGGTGCTGCATGCCTTTGGTACCTCGCACACGGTGTAGGTGGCTGTGATGGCTTCATCGCCTCATTAGTGGGAGATGGAGGATACGAGTGGGCACGAAGGTATTCAGAGTGCCTTACCCTGTGACTACAGGGAGCAGTCCATCAGCCAGGCACTCTATCTTCCATTGTTTAGAAAGAACAGAAATGAGAAGCCTGCAGGCAACTGGTCTCTAGGGTTAGCAAAGCCATGAATCTCGTAACTTCCGCACAAAACCCATGGCTTCTTCCTCACAAAACTTCACTGCTCTTAAAACTGTTAATGTGCCCCAGAATACACTATTTCTGCCTTCTTGCTGCCTGCACGAAGTCCCTGCAGGGTGAGCGTAGCTAAGCAGTACTGCTGCCTCTTCCCTGGAGCCTTTTCTCCCTGTGACCCGTACCGAGCCCAGGGACCCGTGGGTGGCAGAGGGGATGCGGGGGAATGATGACGCCCTGGGCAGGCGGCGTTGTGCGGCCGCAGCAGCCGTGACTGCGAGCGGCGCCGCGAGAGGGAGCCCGGCTGCGGGGAACCGGGGACGCGGGAGAGCCCCGCGGTACTCGCTGGAACCGGGGACGCGGGAGAGCCCCGCGGTACTCGCTGGAACCGGGGACGCGGGAGAGCCCCGCGGTACTCGCTGGAACCGGGGACGCGGGACAGCCCCGCGGTACTCGCTGGAACCGGGGACGCGGGAGAGCCGGGCGGGGCCGGCTGCCGCGGGCGCTGCAGCCTTAGGCCACCTCTTTCTGGAGCCACAGCAATCCGTGTGTAACACGGATCCCAGCGAGACACAGAGCTCTCCTGGATGCGGGATGCACAGCCTTGTCTTCCCGCAAGGCAAAGCCTGAGCCTCTCTGCAAAACGCAAGCAGAGCTTTCCCTGTGAGCGGGGCCAGGGCGGTGGCTGCACAGTCACTGAGCGGGCCTCTCCCCGTTTGTTACTTTACTTTTTTTCTCCACTGCTGCTCAAATTTCTTCTGACATCTAAGCAAGATGCTGTATTGGTCTTCTGTAAATAGCCATCTGCTGGATGTGAGTGGGTTTTAGGAAAAACCCCTGAAATATTCCCTTTTCCCGGAGTGTTTTCCCAGCTGCGGCGTGCATGTGCCCCGGGAAAGGTGTGGAGGAGAGGAGCCGTCCCTCAGTGCAGCGGGCAGTGCAAACCTTCCCTCTTTGCTCTCTGCTGCGCTGTCCGCAGAGACACGGCCCAAATGTGCTCCTGGCCCTGCAGCAGGGGCTGTTCCTGGGGCTGTTTCAGGGCAATCCCGACCGCAGGGCCCCGGCAGCCCTCAGCTCGGCACGGCAAACGGAGCTCAGCCTGTGGGGTGGGTGGGTATCGCGGCCGGTGTCCCTTCCGAAGGGACAGGCTGGGCTCAGGGCAGCTGTGCTGGGCAGGGACACAGAGCTGGCTCCGTGTGCTACCGTGTGTGACAGCGACAGGCTGGGCTCAGGGCAGCTGTGCTGGGCAGGGACACAGAGCTGGCTCCCTGTGCTACCGTGTGTGACAGCGACAGGCTGGGCTCAGGACAGCTGTGCTGGGCAGGGACACAGAGCTGGCTCCGTGTGCTACCGTGTGTGACAGCGACAGGCTGGGCTCAGGGCAGCTGTGCTGGGCAGGGACACAGAGCTGGCGCCCTGTGCTGCTGAGCCATCGTGTGTGACAGCGACAGGCTGGGCTCAGGGCAGGTCGCAGCGCCCTCTGTGCCGCAATGTCCCCATCTGGGAACATCTGATTCCAAAACAGGGCTGTTTTCTTTGCCTGTTCTTCAACGTCTCTATGACTCAGTTTTGGAATGAGAACAAAAAGCAGAGAAAACCAAGCATGAATCAGGTATTATTTGGCTTCAGTTTTCTGTAAGGCCAGGTGACCAAAATCATTCCAGCTTCAAGAATCAATAAATTAACATCATGTTTAGCTCACCTATCATCAGGTTCTTTAATCAAATATAAGGTGCTGCTGGATTTATTAGTTCAGAGGATTTTGCACTTCAGTCAGCATGATGGCAATCTACTTTTAAAAATGCATTTAACCACAATTGGTTTTCTGGTACCTGCTGCTTGTGAAAACTTCAGGCAGCAGAAATAAGTTGTGATTCTCTTTGATGAATTCTGCTTGTTTTTAGGGAATGTATCAAGTTCTGTTCACCTAAACATATCCAGTAGCAAACAGTACTTTTTTCTGAACTTCTTCTCAGCTTGAAAGTTTTGTCTGTACTGTTTTCTTCCTGAGGCTGTTTAGGTGTTGTTTAGTCCTTGTCCATCATATTCCTTCTTAAATGATACACAACCTTTGAGAGCTGTTTTTAGCAGCTGTGTGTTGCTTTGCTGGGAGTAGAGCTTATTATGTTCTCCTGGATTTTGTAAAGGAGCTTATACATTTTTTTTAAGGTATTTAGAATTGTCAGTTAAAGGGTCCCCTTTTATGAAACCAAGAATTCTAATTGCAAAGCTGACTTAAAAAACCTTGCTATGTAAAGTAGTTTACAAAACTTCATTTTGTAAATGCAATGCCTCCTGGTTCTAAGAGTGTGCTGACCTCTCAAAGCATGTGTGAGGAAAAAAAAGCCAAAATGAAAATGAGAGTGGGAACATTCCTGTGGAAAAATTTATTCCAACAGCACAGCACTTTTCTAGGAATGATTATTGCACTGGAAGATATTCAAAACTTGCAAGTTGCAACTAGGTTCTGGATTTTACTTTTTACCTTCTACCCAGTCTTGCTCCAGCCTTATTTTGTTCAGATAACAAGTTCTTAACAGCTTCCTTCAAGGATTAAAAACCTCCTCCTGAAGTTCTTTCTTCTGTGCATAGCTTCCCATGCCTTAGTCTGAGTTTCTTTTGAAACTAGGAAGGATCTGGAAATGCTTTGCATTGAGATCTAGTTGCTTTGAGGGAGCTCATCTTATTCTTCAGTTGTGTCTTGGTTTCCCCACATGGTATATGTGACCATGCTGTGATTAAGTCTTTTGCTACAGTGATTTGATTGCTTTAGAGAAGATTATAATCAGGAAAAGCTGATAGGCAAGGGCCTTTTCTAGTGCTGGAACCCAGCCAATTCTGTCTGTCCTTCTCCAGTTGTTTTTTTTTTCAGTTGGAATTAGCATCCTAGTTTTCTGATTAATACAGAGAGCAAAACATCATTTGTTCTCCTAATATCTTCAACAAGAAGTTTGAAACCGAGGACAACACATAGGAACCAAATGCATCATGTGTGGAACAGCACTTAATTCTTTAAGTATTCTACCCACTTTTGGAATCTGCAAAAGTTGGTGGGGGTTTGTTATCCATGTAGGGTTTCAGTGCTTGTGTGACTGTCCAGGCTTAAGGCCCAAATATTGTTCCTGGCACTGCATCCAGGAGTGCACCATTTTTATGTGATGGGGAATGCTGTCCAGTATATAGAGTTTAATTTTAACTCTGCCTGTGTGACTTCCCTACCTAGGTTCTATTTCTGGATGTAATTTTTATGTCTGGAGGTTCACTTAAAAAAGGACTGGAGCCTCTTTTGTACCTATCCCCAAAATGCAGATCCTCAGAACTGCTTCTATAATATGGCATAATAGCTCCTGCTGAGATGGGGTGGCACTGGTGGCTTGTGGCTCTTCTGTTTGCTGTAGATGAATTCTCTGATGAACATCTGTTCCTAGGCAAGCAGCTAGAGTCCTCTCCACCCCTAAGCTAAGATGCTCCTTGGCCTCCTTCTCCTGTGGAGGCTGATGGGACCATTTCCAGAGCAATTTTGTCTCGTGTGAAACGCAGGCAGAGTGGGATGGCAGCTGAGGAGGAAGTGTTGGTGTTTCTATTTCCAACAGAAAGTACCTAAATGAGTGTGTGAGAGGCCAGGATTCAGATTTCTGATGCTCGAGGGGACTTGCAATCCCACTCACAGCTGAGCTGTTCTGGAGACTCCTTTAACTGCTCCTGAGCAGGGCTGCACAGGAGGCCTTGGTGTGCCTGGGAGGGGATGGGCTGGTGGCTTGGTGGTGAGGGCTGCAAGAAGGAAGGCTGGTTAGCAGACAGTCCTCTGGATGGATAAAATCTTCCCTCCTTTGGGCTGTGGTTGGAGAAGAGGAGTCTGTTTTCCTTTCTGCTCCTGCCTGCTGATGTGCTCTGCTCTCAGGCTGCTCACTCTGGTGCTGGTGCCTGGCTCCCTGTCTGTGCCTGCCTGTCTGTGGTGAAGGGGTTGCTGTTTGCTGTCCCTCCTGCTCAGGGCTGACTCACTTCCTGCCTTAGTAACTCACTTGAAACCTTCCTGTTTTCTGACTTCTGACTGCAGAGTGAAGCTGTTTCTGAAGCTTGTGAGAGAAATTGTACTGGGCTGCCTGGTGCTACTTTGCCTCGTTTTCTTTTCCCTTGAGCTGGCTGACAGGGGAATATTTTTACCTGTTTAAATGCTGCATTCATCTCAGGGAGCACTGTTTGTCTCAAGGGCAGGGTGCAGGCAACCTGAGGACTTGTCCCAGGGAGGGAGGCAAGAGAGGAGATGGGGCCAGGATGTAGGGTTGGGAGCAGATCTCTGGGTGCACTGTGGTTTGTGTGGGGTCTGGCTGTGTTGCACTTGCTCTCAGACTCTTGTTTTCACAGATGTTAAAGCCAGTCACAGGAAAATAATTAAGGGAATGATAAACCTGAGTAGAACAACTCTGACAGGTTTTAAGGCATGGGGACAAGCAATCAGGCTGTCATGAGGGACACAGGGCAGAGCTGCAGGGGCTGTGGGCTGTTCTGGCAACAGCCCAGCCCTCTGTGCCACTGTGGAGCAAAAATCTTCTCTTAGGATAAGAAATATGTGCATGTACATGCACTCATGTACACAAACAGGCTCTAGGGGGAAGGTTAATGCCTCTGTATGAATCTCTGCAGGCATTTCCTACCGGGAACATTTCCCAGTTTAGAAAAACATCTCATGGAGGGTGCTGCAGCTCTCCTGTCTTGGCATGTTCCTCTCTCTTTAGTGAGCCCTGTCTGTGAGCAGAGCTCTGGCTTCTGGAGGCTGCACAGGTGATCAGGAGCACACAGAAGAGCCATTTCTACCATCCCCTCTCCTTTCTGCTACGCAGGCATGCCTGACAGCTCTTCAATGCTTGCATAAGAGGTAGGAGCACAGTGTCCTAATTTATATGCCTGTCACAGTGGGTGGTGAAATGGCTAATCAAATCCTACCTGGCTTGTGATATGACCATAGCCTTTGTAAATGTGCCAAGTGCTCCATGAAAGGTGCATGATTTATAAAGCATTTCCTCAGTTTCTCTGTCAGCTCAAGCTCTCTTCAATGTATTGGGTGTTAAAGCAATGAGACAGAAATCAGGGGGAGAGCTCATAAAATTTGTAAGTCAATTCAGCTTAAAGAAACCAGACAAGCAGATGCACAAAAGTAAAGAATAATATATGTATGTGTATAAGGCTCTGTACAGCTAAAGACCCACAGCACTAACCTCTCAGGGGAGACAAAGTGAAAGTTGCTTTTAAGAGTATTGAAGGAGAAATTCCAGTTTCTTCAAAAGTAATGAGGATTTTGCTGTAGTTTTCAATGGGACTAAGCTCCAGCTTCTGTTGGAATTCATAACTCATACCTCACTGCCTGTCACAAAGAAATACTCTAAGCAGGGATGAAAGATTTATGAAATCATGCATGAAATGACTGTACGTCTACTCTGCTTTCTGAAGGCTGTATTTTTGTGGAAGATATTTTATATACAGGACATGATTTATCTCTGATGCCTGCATGTTTTATTCTTCTGTAAAGATTTTAACTACCCTCGGAGAGATCCTTCCTTCTGGGAGGACCTTCTCCCTCAGTGAAGGAAGGCAGCTTCTTCTGTTGGTA